CGCGCCAACGGCGCGACAAGGGAGCAAGCAGCCGTGAAGTCGACAACGGAGCAGTCGGCGGCCGGGTCGTCGGCAGGGGACCCGACCACAGGGGAGAAGTCGGCTGGGACGCCGACCACATTGGAGCAGTCGACTGGGACGCCGACCACAGGGGAGCAGTCGGCTGGGACGCCGACCACAGGGGAGCAGTCGGCTGGGACATCGACGATGGAGGGGACGCCAAGGAGGTCCAGCCGGGACCACGGCGTTCAGGCCGACTTCGGAGGCCGCCTGACTTCTTTGTCCCCGCCGCCTACACCACGGTGTATGACGTGGACGATGACGACGACCTGCTGTACGACGACGCCGAGGAGGATGAGGAGTTTCCGAAGCTCGACCCCGACATGTTAGCCGACCCCGAGCACCGTTGGGACATCTCGACGATGACGGTGAAGGAGGCGTTGGCGAGCTAGAAGGGCCCGGCGGTGAAGGCCGCCATGGAGGAGGAGATTCGCAGCCTCATCAACATGGGCACTTGGGAGCTGGTCGAACGCCCGCCGAGGGTGAACGTCATGAAGAACCGGAGGGTGTTGACGACGAAGTACCACATCGACGACACCGTCGAGCGAGAGAAGGCGAGGCTGGTCGTGAAGGGCTTCACACAGGTGTACGGCGCCGACTACGACGAGACGTGTCAGAACATTATAGCTTATACTTTTGTGTAGGCTGTAGTGGGGTATCCCATAGGGGGTACAACCCAATTAGGGTTGGTACTTGTACCCACTTCATTCATAGTTCATCTCATTCTCGTTTCAGTTTTCTCATGGTATCGAGCAGGTTCCCTCGTGGGAACTGTTCCTAAGGCCCTACTACTGCTTCCGCTGCTACTCGATCTGTCGCACGCCCCGCGGCCTGCGACCTATATTCATCTCGCCTCGCGCCGTTGGCGCGCGGCGATTTTCTTTCTGGCGCGCGCCCCGAGGCGCGCGGCCCCGCTACCCCGTCGCGCCGCCCTAGCGGCTGCGTCGCGCCGCCCTCGCGGCCCCGATCCGCCGCCCCACTGGCCCCGTCACCTACCCCTGCGGCCTCAGTGCCGCCCTTCCTGGCCCCAGCTCCGCCCTTCCCGGCCCCGGCGCCACCTCGGCTGGCCCCGTCGCCTACCTCGGCGACCCTGACGCCGCTCTTCCCGACCCGGCCCCGCCTCTGCTGGCCCCGTCGCCTACCCCTGCGGCCCCAGCGCCGCCCTTCCCGGCCCCGGCGCCATCGCTGCCGGCCCCGACGCCGCCCTTCCTAGCCCCGGCGCCGCCCTTCCCGGCCCCGGCGCCGCCTCTGCTGGCCCGGTCGCCTACCCTGCGGCCCCGGCGCCGCCTCTGCTGGCCCCGCCGCTGTCCCCAAGCGGCCCCGCCGTCACCACCGAGCCGCCGGCGCCGCCGAGCTAGTCCCGGGCCACCCGAATCGCCCGAGCCGCCCGAGCCGCAACGCCACCTCAGCCGCCCGAGCCACCGGGTCACCGAGCCGCCGAGCTGCAATTGCTGCCGAGCCGCCGTACCGGCGTACCGCCGTGCCGCCGAGCCGCCGAGCCGCCCGAGTCGCCCGAGCCGCCGGCCGCCCGAGTCGCCCGAGCCGCCGAGCCGCAGTTGCTGTAGTGCCGCCGTGCCGCCGAGTCGCCGAGTCGCCGAGTCGTCGAGCCTGCTCTTCCCACCACTGGTGAGCCCCTGCCTTACTAGCTCGCTGCCTGCCGCTTGCTTGGCTGCCCGCCGCTACTACTGCTACTACTACTGGCGGCGGCCAGATGCAGCTCCAGCGACGCCCACGCGCGTCTCTCACGCCCCAGCAGCTTCGTGAGTGGTACGCTCAGAGTAGAGGGTCTCTCAGTTCTGTTCGCTGCTCTTACGTGATTCGCACTGGTGCTCGGACTGGTCAGCCTTGTGGGACGCCTAGTCAGACACCGTCCCGCTGCTTCGCCCGTCTGAGCGACGCCTGGCGTACCGAGTTTGGTGACGAGGCTGAGCTCCCCGACTGGGTGGAGTTGCTTAGGCAGAGGGTAGATATATTTGCTCTTGACTATGATGCTATTCTCACTCCCATGTATGCATTGCCTACTAGTGCTGACCGTGCCGGTCACCTGTGCGTACCGCCTGACCCGGGTATAGAGCCTGCTGCTCTAGCTGCTGGTGAGGCTGCTGCTCTGGGTGCTAGTGTGTCTCCTGCTCCAGGTACAGGTGCGGCTGCTGCTCTGGGTGCTAGTGTATCTCCAGCTCCAGGTACAGGTGCGGCTGCTGCTCTAGGTGCTAGTGAGTCTGCTTCCTCAGGTGCGGGTGAGTCTGCTCTCTCAGGTACCGCGTCGGCTCCGGCCTCTCACACCTTCACCCTTGACTCGGGGGCTTCCCGCTCCTTCTTTTGAGACCGCACCACACTCACGCCGCTTGGTCGGCCAGTTGCAGTCTCTCTGGCAGACCCCTCTGGGGGCCCTGTCCTTGCTCACTTCTCCACTGTCCTCCCGTGTCTCACTTCGTGCCGGTGAGCAGCTACGTCACGGTGAGGATCTTCCTCAGCATCGTCGCCATCCTTGACCTTAACCTGATGCAGCTCGACATGAAGAACGCCTTCCTGCAGAGCAAGCTCGATCGGGTGCTGTACATGTCTCAGCCGGACTACTTCAACGACGGAACCGGCCGGGTGTGCAAGCTGCTGAAGAGCCTGTACGGGCTGAAGCAGTCGCCACTATTGTGGTACTTGGCGCTCAACGATGTGCTGGTCGGCGCCGGGTGGAAGAAGAGCCAGGTCGACGACGCTCTTTACTTCAGGGTCGGCGAGAGTGGAGTGGCCTGCTGGGTGCTGGTCTACGTCGACAACCTGCTTGCCGCCAACAGTAGCGCCGCGATGCTGAAGGAGCTGAAGGAGCTGCTGGAAGCCGCCTTCGAGCTGCGCGAGATCTCGCCGGTGCAGAAGTACCTCGGGCTGGAGATCGTGCGCGACAGGTTGGCGGGGAAGCTGTGGCTGCACCAGCAGGGCTACGCCGACAAGCTGCGTAGGCGCTTCCTCGACGAGGAGTAGACCGGGCGCACCCCAAAGACGCCGGTCTCGGTCGGCGCCTACGCCGAGCTCACCTTCGACGATGAGGAGGCGCAGGAACGACAGGAGGAGGAATACCGGCAGAAGGTCGGCTCTCTGCAATTCGCGGCGACGACTACGAGGCCGGACATCGCCTTCGCCTGCAGCAAGCTGGGGAGCGGCCTCACGGTGAGGAGCGACCAGTACTGGCGCGACGTCGATCGCTGCCTCGCCTACCTCGCCAACACACGTGACACTGCCCTGGAATTCGGCGGTGGACCAGAGTCGCTGGAGCTGGTCGGCTACGTCGACGCCGACGACGCTGGTGACAAGCAGAACAAGACGAGCATGGGTGGCTAGGTGTTCATCTACGGAGGGGCTGCAGTCTCCTGGTCGAGCCAGCGCATCAAGTGCGCGACGTTGTCGTCGACCGAGTCGGAGTACGTGGCGGCCACTGAAGCTGGCAAGGAGGGACGCCGCCTTCGCTTCCTCCTCGCCGAGTTCCGGCAGCTGGACGCCGGGAAGCCGACTGTCTTGCGAGTGGACAACAAGTCGGCTATCACGGTCGCCGAGGGCATGGGGTTGACAGGCAACCTCAAGCACATGGAGCGGCGATAGGCCTGGCTGCAACACATGGTGAAGCGCGGGAAGTTCTCGCTGCAGTACACATCAACCGCTGAGCAGCCGGCCGACTTCCTGACGAAGGCGCTGCACTATCCGGCCTTCAACCGGTGCTCCGTCGCAATCGACCAGGTGCGCATGGCCGACGTGGGCGACGGCGACAACGACGTGCAGCAGTAGGTGCCATGCCCTCTTGCATGGCTGGTGCGGTGACCGGCGTGCTGTGTGTTGGGTGCACGCCGACGAGCTATTCTCGGAGCTGTACTGCCGTGTGGGCTAGGGGCCCAAGCGTGAACGCGGCAGGGGAGTGTCAACGGGAGCGTTGTAAGGCCCCGTCCTCGCTTGGGCGGAGCCAACCTTGTGGTCGGATGTGCGGGGTTGCAGCCGACCTGCAGCAGTGAGCACGGGGGCCACTGCAAGGGCGCCAAGCTAGAGGACGCCGCCCTGGACGCCTGGTTGGCGTCCCGGACGCTTGGACGGCGTCCTGGGAGGCTGGACGCCAAACTGGGCGTCGCCACGACCACCTGGGCGCTTGGTCGACGTCGTGGGCGTCTGCACGGCGTCCGGGGGTCCAGACGCCGACCTGGGCGTCGGGCCCCGACACCGACCTGGGTGTCTGGTCGGCGTCCTGGGAGGAGGGACGCTGCTCTGGAGGTTTGGTCGGCGTCCTGAGCGTCTGGACGCCGACCTGGGGGTTCGGAAGGCGTCCTGGGCGCACTTGGACGCCGGACTGGGACGCCGGGCATGCGTGGCCGGCTACGGACTGCGTGAGTCGACCCGGCGTGGTTGCCCGGTCGATCGGGATACCCGGGCGACGTGCGCGAGCGTCGCTAGGGTGGAGACTGCGAGGCCGACCTCGGGGGTGGTATCCCGAGGTCGACGTGGCTGGTGGGCACAGTCGCTAGCGTGGAGTCTGCCAGGCGTCCGCATTGTGCACATGACAGGGAAGTGCGCTCCAACCAGCTGCGCGCACCTGCGAAGCAGGTGCACCGTTGTCCTGCGGGTGCAACGCTCTGCAGCCGGCTTCCTGCGGCACTAGCACACCGTGGACTTGCAACGTTGGCGAACCGCTACTCTGCAACGCTGGAGCGGTGCGAGCGCTGCTGCGCTGGAGCGCGGTCGACCGTGCTGCACTGGAGGTCGACCAGCAGCCTAGCTAGCACTGATGCAGTTTGTGATGCCAATGTTGTTGCTATCATTGTTGTCATGTTTTCCTAGTGAAACTCTTGCCAATTCTCCCCGTGAACTAGCAAGGAGCGTGAACACAAGGAAACAACTAAGTGAACGAACGCAGAGATCACACGAGCACACGTGCCTAGCCCATAGTCTAGCTCCCGTTGCAGCAGTTATGTCCGCAGCTGCTGCTGGTGCTGCTGGCGCTGACCACCACAAGAGCCGACCCTCTGCGCAGCGCCACCCCGACCAGCTCCACCTCCTCCGCCGCCGCCTCCTCCACTGCCGCCACCTCCGCCACCTCCGCTCCCACCGCCACCGCCGCCTCCGCCTCCGCCTCCACTGCCGCCACGTACACCTCCACCCCCGCCACCACTCCCACCACCACCCCCACCCCCTCCACTGCCTCCACCGCCACCTCCGCCACCCCGGCCAGCCCCTCCAGCGCCCTTGCCCCCCTTGCCCTTGCCAGGGCGGCGTCTTCCGCTCGGGGCAGACGCAGCGCCGACGGACTCGAAACCAACGAGGTCGGCCGCAGCAGCAGAGGCAACAGAGGGCAAAAGGGGGGAGGGGGAACACCCCTCAAAGATGGGGGTCCGAGGGTCACCACGAGAGGCTCCTACAGCGACTATGCTCTTCTGTGCTGCTAGGAGGGCCTTCTCGAGGAGGTCAACGGTGAGAGTGGTGGGGCAAATTGAGAGGAAGTGGTCCCTGACTACGCGAAGGGAGTCAGGGAGCCGGGTGACTATGTAGTAAAGGGTGATGTACATGGGGGGGGGGGGTTCTTAGCGCAGAACTCAGCAGGAAGAGCAGCGCGGTAGCGAGTGTCACTAATGCGGAGGTGCGTAATGAGGTCAGCGACTGTGGGAAAGGCAGCAAGGTCAGGGAAGAGGTACGGTAGCATGAGGCGGCTCAGTGCAGCAGTGGCAGGGGAGGAGTAGCGTGCAACAACAACGTCGTACAAGGTCTGAGCACTCTTGTACTGGCTTAAGTGTGCACGCTCAGTGGTCGGTAAGTGGCGACGCACAGCAAGGTGAGCAGCAGCATCCCGTGTGGCCCACTGTGAGCGAACAGTGGCGTCAGCATCAGCAGCAGGGGCAGGAGAGGCACAAGAGGTGAGGTCAAAGAGGGAGAGACCGTCTGCCCTATCGCACTGGAGAAACAGCTGGAGGTCATCGACCCAGACCTCAAAGTCAACGGCACGGCCCTCAGCATCAAAAGTAAGGACAATAGGGGTAGCCATGACTGCAGTGGCCTAGTAGGGAGTGAGCTCACCAGTCCGGAGAAGGAGGGCCGAGGCGCACAGGTAGGAACAGCAGCGGCTCAACAGTAGGGCGGCTCGGCGGCTCGGCAGCTCGGCGGCAGGGCGGCTCGGCTGCTGGGCGGCTCGGCTCCTGGGCGGCTCGGCGGCAAGGCGGCTCGACTGCTGGGCGGCTCGGCGGCTCGGCGGCTGGGCGGCTCGGCTGCTGGGTGGCTCGGCTGCTGGGCAGCTCGGCTACTAGGCGGCTCGGCTGCTGGGCAGCTCGGCTCCTGGGCGGTTCGGCTGCTCGGCAGGTGGGCGGTTCGGGGCCGCAGGTGGCGGCTGCGTGGCCGCAGGTGGCGGCGAGGGGGCAGCAGGTGGTGGCGACGGGGCCGCTGGTGGCGGCGACGGGGCCGCACGCGGCGGCGACGGGGCTGTAAGGGGCCTAGACGGGGCCGCAGAGGGGCCGTAAGGGGCCTAGGCGGGGCCGTAAGGGGCCTAGACGGGGCCGTAGCGGGGCCTAGACGGGGCCGTAACGGGGCCGCAAGGGGCCTAGACGGGGCCGCGGAGGGGCCGTAAGTGGCCGAGACGGGGCCGTAGCGAGGCCGCAGGGGCCTAGACGGGGCCGCGGAGGGGCCTAGACGGGGCCTAGACGGGGCCGTAAGGGGCCTAGATGGGGCCGTAGCGGGGCCGCAAGGGGCCAAGACGAGGCCGCGGAGGGGCCGTAAGGGGCCTAGACGGGGCCGTAAGGGGTCGGAAAGGGCGCCGCGAGGGGCCAAAAGGGGCCGCGCGAGGGCCGTAAGGGCGACGCGAGGGGCCGTAAGGGGCCGTAAGGGGCGAAGCGAGGGGTCGTAGTAGGTGGCGTGAGGGGCCGTAATGGCGGTCAACGAGGCCGTGAGAGGGGCCACTAAGGGCGGCTCGAAGGTAGGGAGGGCACACAGAGCGCGACTCGGGTAGGAGTGAGGCGCGCTCCGGGCAGGAAAAAAAAATATCGTGGTGGGCCCTAGGTAGCGTTCCCACTAGGGAACCTGCTCGATACCATGAGAAGAAACGAGAATTATTGAACTATGAAACAGTTGGGTACAGGTACTAACCCTAATTGGGTTGTACCCCTTATGGGCTACCCCACTACAGCCTACACAGATGTATAAGCTATAATGTTCTGACAGTTACTTCCTTGCTCGTGAGCTGCAGCAGCGTGGTCAGCTGCGCCTTACCTACGTGGCCTCTGAGGCCAACACTGCTGATATCTTTACCAAGGCACTTCCGCCTTGTGATCATCAGCGCTTCTGTACTTTGCTAGGTCTTGTGCCTACTTGGCCTCACTTGCTCACCTCTTGACTTTGCTTGTACTGTGATCTATATATACTTGCACTTGCATGCTTACTCTTGCTAGGTTGAGATCACTGCCTTGCTTGTTCTTCTTGATGTATAACTCTGCATGTGAACTGGCCTTGTGGCCTTGTGCTTGTGGTCAGATTGTGTGGTGACGTTGTGATCCACCCTGGGCTTGCCTTGCTTCTCTTGACTGGTCTTGTGACCCCTTGTTCTCCCCCACTTTGCCTATGGGGGTGTGTCGAACTATATATGCTATAGTCTGTTTAGGCTGTAGTGGGGTAGTCAATATGGGGTACAACACTTTAGGGTTTCCTACTTGTACTCCTCATGCTGCTTAATGCAATCATTCCTTCCTTAGATTCTCACAAAAGCCTTAAATTAGCGTCTTAGTTTCACTAGTTTAAAATGTCTTGGATTTCATCCGATCTGGTACATATAACGTAAACTAAGTAAGTAATGTTTTAATATTATACTGAACGTTGTGTGTTCTCGACACACTCCTGTGTCAACAGCGGGTAAGAACCACGCCACATTTGCTGTGACTACCCAGTACGACCACGATGAAAACAGAATTCACCGAGCTCAATCATAACGAATTTCAATTTCGCCGCAAGCAAGTTATCAAGCACACTTGACCGCGTGCTGCCTGTCCATGATTCGTCCCTTGCGTGCGCATTGATTTCACGCTTTCGAATGGGCCACTCGCCCATGGTGTCGTTTGTCGCTTTTCGCAACACGTTGACTCGCGTTGGGCGGATGTTTCCGCCAACAATGCAGAGTCAGAATGGAACGCTGTACATGCTTGCGTGACGTTTACTATTCCTGAGCCGAATGTGTTTTCCTGAGCTGTAAGTGAACAACCCCCACTCCCCCCCCCCCCACCCCATCCCGAAAATACCACGCATTACTTTTGCTCATTTCGTAAGTACATTGGTAACGAGATGGGGCGGTGGTGCTAGCGTTTTAAACCATTTAGTGACCAGGTAGATATTTGCTGCCCAAAAAATTAACGTAGTTGTCGACTTCGCTGGCCAGTTGCACACTTACATGATGCTTGGGTGGCAAAAGATGTACGCAGGGAAATTGTGGGGCTGTTTCGCCGCACATGACATCGTCTCGCCAGCCACATTTAGGTTCCAGCGTTACAATATTCAGCCAATAAAAAAGCCTACTGTAATGCGTGCCAGCACATTGCATGCCACCCAGGAAAAGCTCTTCACCTTCGAGAAAGGACAAACGTGTACATCGGTGCATAAGGACCGCCAGCGCACCAGATTTGCTGCTATTCATGAACGCTAACGCCAGCGCACCTGAAGGCACTACCCACTTCATCCCACGAGCAGCAACTCACATTCTCTGAAACCCCACCCCATCCCCTTCTCCCCCCCGTTTCCCTTCCTCGTTGGCAGGGGAAAGAGGCAACTGCTCTGTCCGCGTGTCTCTGTTTAGGAATTCAAAGTTTGGAATTTCAAACTTTGTTTTAACCTTGCTCGAGGCCTGACTTCTTTCTCATTCACTCATCCCGCGACCCGTGCCGAGCATCCATGCGAGGCGACTTTGGTCCCACGTCTGGTAATGTCCAGTGACAGCCGATCATGGTGCGTTTCGCGAACCCTCCTTTGGTAGTCCATTCGCCTACGATTTAACCCGCTTTTTTGTCACATGGTCGACCTCATATAAATAGCCGTGTCTGCATCTTGCTGGCTATTTGCTGGAACTTGGTTACTTTGTTTAATAACCCGTTTAGTCATGGCACGCGGTAATGCACGAGAACTTGTCCCTGAATCTTTGCGCTCCCTGCAGACTAGAAAGCTCCCGGCACGGAAGAGCAAGGACAATCATAAATACATTGGTGGCGCTGCTACCGCAGGTATTTGCACGCTGGTTTTGTTTTGCGTTTTTTTATTTTTTTTTGCTTGCACGAATGAAGTCGAACACGACTAACCACCGTTCATTGTTTCTCGCAGATGAAAGCCACGATGAATCGTCCGACGAGCAAGCGCAAGGCCGCCATCGCACCGGCCAACGGACCAAACATATCTAAAATTTTCCCCCACAACAGGAAACCCCAACCACAGCCCAATGGAGTTGCTTATGACCAGAGCGACGGGGCGTGCGTATGTGCTGCTCGCTTCGACGAGGAAGCGCGCACCGAACCTGATGTGAATGAGGAGCTTCGAACTAAGGCAGAAGCTCAGAAGGCGATCGCCGGAGTTTATCAAAAAGAGAATGGTCGCCTCGCCAAACACCTGAAAAGCGCGCTGGTGCTTATAACGCACCTTGCTAAGAAGACAACGCAAGTGGACCAGTCGACTCTCGACTGGAAGGTACAGGTTTGCATTTCATTGCCGATCGTAACCCAGTTACATTCGTCCTGACTCTCTGTCATCGTCTTGCAGAAGTACACGAAGGACGCCTGTGATGAATTCCTGTTCAAGAAAGCGTTTCTCAACCTCAATCCCAATTCTGATGACATGCTAAATGCATTGATCAGTAAGTTTTTTAAGCGTTGTCATTTTTTCCTTCATGTTTAGTAGTGTACTAATCATCACAGTTTACGTCGTGTGCAGGGCATGCAGGCTACACCCCCAAATCGGCCGAAGGGATGCAGGTGGCAGCGATTGCCAAGTCCCAGGGCAAGCTGAAGGATACTATGGAACGTTTTAACGATCGCATAGGGAAAATCTACCGCCTCTGCCGCGTTAACGACCTGAAATGAGGAATGATTGCATTGAGCAGCATGAGGAGTACAAGTAGGAAACCCTAAAGTGTTGTACCCCATATGAGCTACCCCACTACAACCTACACAGACTATAGCATATAAGTTTGACACACCCCCATAGGCAAAGTGGGGGAGAACAAGAGGTCACAAGACCAGTCAAGAGAAGCAAGGCAAGCTCAGGGTGGATCACAACGCCACCACACAATCTGAGCACAAGCACAAGGCCACAAGGCCAGTTCACATGCAGAGTTATATATCAAGATGAACAAACAAGGCAGTGATCTCAACCTAGCAAGGGTAAGCATGCAAGTGCAGGTATATATAGATCACAGTACAAGCAAAGTCAAGAAGTGAGCAAGTGAGGCCAAGTAGGCACAAGACCTAGCATCGTACAAAAGCGCTGATGATCACAAGGCGGAAGTGCCTTGGTAAAGATATCGGTAGTGTTGGCCTCAGAGGGCACCTAAGCAAGGCGCAGCTGACCACGCTGCTGCAGCTCACGAGCAAGGAAGTAGCGAAGAGCAATGTGCTTCGTTCTATGCTCCAGTTTGTGCTCCCGACACAAGGCCAGCATGGCCTTGTTGTCTACGTACAACACTGGAGGAGGACGAGGCGGCTCTCCTAGGTCAGTCAATAGGTAGGTGAGCCAGCATAGCTCCTGTGCAGCCATGGCCCCCGCGTAGATCTCAGCCTCACAGCTGGAGCCGAGAACAAAAGACGAGCGGGTAGACCACCACGAAACAGAGCCGGAGCCAGGGCTGAAGGTGTAACCCTGTGACGACCGCTGGGTAGCCTGGTCGTCAGCCCAAAAAGCGCCTGCGTGACCTGTGAGGACCACTCGACGTCGCCCTCCAAGCACTAGCCCCATGCCCGACGTACTGCACAAGTAGCGCAACACCCTCTTCGCTGCACCCATGTGCTCTGGTCGGTGTCTCCCAGGAGC